CTTCCATTCGTACTTTTCAATTTCAGGTACTGTGTTAAAATCATCACGTCCACGAAGTCCCTTGTTTTTATACAGAGAGATTCTCATTTTATATTTGCAGTGAGATTCAGTTCTCTAAACTGTTTATGACATTCTGAACTGTAGCATTTACATTACTCTTTTCATCACTATTTTCACTCTTCAATGAACCACTAATCTATTTTTGTGAAATAAGGATACAATTTAAGACCAGCAACAATAACAACAAAAAATGTTATTTTAACAAATAAACAATAAGAAAATGAAATTTAAAAATATATTAACCAAGATAAAGTGCACCATATGAAATGTAAGCTATTTTAACCAGGGCAATTTTCATAACACAAACACAATTGTTAATATTATGAGTTTTAAGAACATAATGGGATTTCAGCTGAAATCATAATTATTCTCATATCTCAAGGTTCTACACACTCTGCCACTCCTACACCACCTTTCTGATCTCATTTCCAACTTGCCCCTGGCCACCCCACTTTATGGTGTTGGTCTTGCTAATCTTTGAATACATCCAAACACATTCTCACCTTCAGGCCTTAGCATTGGCTGTACCCTCTCCTGGAACACTCCCCCTAACCTCTCTCACCTCCTTGTAAGTCTTTGTTAAGGTAGGTCTCTTTCACCATGAGGGATACTCAGCCATATTTATCCTCTTCTACTCTCTCTTTCTTCCAAAGTATTTACCTCCTTCTAGCATGCTATAAAATTTACTTATTTATTTGGTTTATTATCTGTCTCCCATTTCTACCCCTCCACCCCCAATGGGATGAAAACTTCACCAGGGCTGGGATATTTGTTTTATTCATTGGTATATCCCCAGCACCTAGATGAGAGACTGACTCATGGAAGGTGCTCAATAAATAGCAGTGGAATTAATGAAATTTTTTCATTGCTTTTCCTTTCTAACTGCCAAACTGTCTGTGGAGCTTACTTGGAGAATTAAACAGAAAATGGGGAGCCGTCAAAGGCTTTTAAACAAGAGAATTATGCCAACAGATTGGTATTCGAACCACACAGGTGAGAAGATAATTTAAAATTTGGAAAGACTGAACATAGAGAGTTAGTTAAAAAGTCAATCCTTGAAAGAGATGATGAAGGCCACAATTTTCCAAATGACTTGGCCTTCTTAAGTGGATAATTTCAACCCTACAATACACATATCTATGGATATGTGGTCAATGTTTGTATAAACATATACACACATACACATATATGCATGCACACACATAAACATATATAATGAACAAATGTAGAAGAAGCTAAGGACATTTTTCTATCATATGGGTATTCTTCACATAAAGCTAATGACCTAGGTCATAGTTAAGACAAACATACTTTGTAGTGTTCCTGGGAGAGCCCCAGTTTATAGTTTTTAATCTGGTGCCCCTTTCAGTTAGTATCTCCTTTTACTCTCAAAAATGCCCTTGTCTAGACCAAAAAATTACATAGTCGCCCTACTTATAAAGAAGATACATACATTTCTTCTTTTCAGGCATGCTGACCAAGTTTTGGGGGATTTTAATAGAGTGGGTATGCAAAAGGTGACAGCCATACTTAATCCTAACACCTACTGACCACCACTGCAATTGGACTATTTCAAACAGGTGATTCTTTAGCAAAGGAGCATGGCAACTGTTGCAGAAGCCACACGCTTCCTATATCTAGCTTTGGAACAATCTCAAACCCCTACGTGAATTTTCACATGGTGAACAGGTTCACCAAGTTCTCCTCTGCAAGCCCTCTGTATGAAAAGCTGAGACCCAAACCCAAGGCTGGAGTCAGAAGAGAGGACAGAAAACAAAGGCTCTTCTATTATCCTCCGAGCCCAGAGAGCTTGGAAACTAGGAGAATGTGGAGTCAAGTCTTCACAACAACACTTGTGTTCTGAACTCTCAGTAAATATCCAAGAATTGAACCAAACATTAGATCTTGAAACTTGCATTCATATCTGTTTGAGCCATACATCCATCAGGTCTTGCAAACAGGTTTTATTTGCAGCTGTTCTCCCGAGTCACAGGAGTTGTCCCAATATGTGTCAGCCCTAAGTAAATGGGCAAGTGTTAATTCTCATCGTTCTTGAAGACAATAATAACATAGGCTTAGAGCCTTAGACACTTAACAACTTAAGGACTATTTTATTTCCTATATGTGTAAATAGGCAAGCAATTACCTTATTCTTCTATCTTCCTTGCTATTTTTTTCCATATGCATATTTTGGTTGTTTTGGTTTTTTTTCACTTTTCTTAGGTTTGTGTTTAACAAGTAAAAGACTGAAATAAAGCTAGACTTAAAATCTGAGGTCAAGAGAGGGAGGTAAAGTAAGTAGTCAAGATTTTTTAATATATAGGATGACTATATAATTTATCATCCAAACCAGGATATTTTTAAATGTGAAAGGGGATGTATTTCATAATTTGATAAACTACATTGACAGGAATAAACTGAGGCTATTGCAGGCAAACCAGGAGGATGGTCACCCTTCTAATCCCTCATTCATATCCCCATACAAAAGACATCCTGTGTGTAAAGAAGCAACCTCTCCCTCTGTTAGGTCAACCAAGCTTCAAGTACAGCCCTCTCTCTTTCATGCCAGGCCTGTCTTTTCACAATGGAGCTGGAAATTCCCTATACAACACACCATGCAAAACTGGTTCCATTTGTACCCAAGAAAGCAGGCAGTAACACCCTAGAATTTGGATCCAGGCCAGGGCCACGGCAAGCCCCAGGCCTGGAACCTCAGGTTTCTCTTAAAGGGACACTTCACAAGAGAGACAGGAGCCTGGTGAGATACCAGCCACTGATTCAACAAGTATTTTGAATGTTAGATTCTTTCACTGAAGCCAGGGCACACGCTGAACCTGGACAGAGCCCAAAAGCCACCTCTCCTGCAAAACACATTCATCCAGAAGAAAGACTATGTTATAGCATCTGTCCTCAAATACAGGTAACAACATTTGTTTCTTGGCTTTTTGCTGAGATCAGTGGTGCAAAAGTCTTTAAAAGAGTAAGAAAATTTGGTTTTCTCCATAGATCACATTGCCCGAGTTCAACAGAGTCAATGCTTACTTTTATTCCAAACCTCCTGTTCAGAGAGGTCAAGCATTCCTCATGCTCTTCATTAAATTTAGTCCTGTGGCTGCTAAATGTTAGTTTACTGGGATATATTCCCTCACATTCATGAAGAGGGAAGTCCAATTTTGTAGTCTAACTGCAATCTACAGCACATAAAGAATTTACAACGATGGTAAGAGCAGAAAAGCTCCAGCTTATTTATCTCAAAAGTTCAGAATGACTTTGACTGCTTCACAGACTCCACAGTCATTCATAAAGATTCAGTGCTGTGACAGAGGCAAAGGCAAAGCTATCCAGAGCTGAGAGTCAGGGGGCAAATGCTGGGAGTTAGGGAACCACCTGTCATGGAGACGGTGGAAGAAACTCTGTTTTAATTCATGCAGATTAGACTAAAGTCCTTCCAGCTAGGAGATGAGTCCAAGGAGCCATTTGTTGAAACGAGCAAGAGCTAAGTGTTGACTGTTTTCCTCCCATAAGTGGTACGAAATCTCAAATTCAAAGACATTTTTTTGTTAATGTAACTGTTTAAACTGTGTCACATAACCACAAATGAGGCCAAAATGTGCCAAAGAAATAATCAAAACAAATAGCTTAACAATGACCTTTGAAACGTACAAAGAAAGAAATTTACTGGTTAGATTCCTGGATGGTAAGGTTATAGAAGGAGAGATCAAAATTATGTTTTGCCCACCCTCCACCCCACCTCCAACCGTGAAGTGGATAATTTCTGAGGAATACAATGACCTTTTATGCTGGGCTTCTCTTGTCTGCTAAGGATGCCATCTGTCTCCCACACTATATAAACAATCTCTGCAGGAATCTTCTGATGACCAAACAGATTAGCAACCTCCAGATTTTCACACCATTAATAATATCCCCATCCAGATTAGGCCTCTTGCTTCAAAACTCCAGAGATAAACCTAATAACTGATCCCTCTTTGTTTGTAGGTAATGTGCGTGTAATTTTAAAGATAACCTCTCAGAACACACAGCCATCTGTTGGGAAAGGGGAGGGGATGGAGGTTGGAGGAAGCTCTCTAAGCAACGAAGAAATGAGCCCTTGAGGGAATAGGTGAAATAGTAAACTGAAAAATCATACTTGTAAGACAAATACATGAAATTTCACCAGGTCTAAAAAAAGACTCCACTATTTACGTTAAAATCATTTCCTTCTAAATGACAAAGTATAGAAAACTATTCATGAAAAGACACGTTTCACACTTTAACAATGGTACGTACAATGAGAAATCAAAGTTTGCTTGACTCTAGGACAGTGAAAGCAGAAACATACCAGAAAGCCTATAAAGCCTCTCGCAAGTTTACCTAGTCCTCCTCTATCTAGGACGATCGCTGAGACTTGCCTTCTGGAAGATGAGTATCTATTTAATCCCTTGTAACTCTGTGAGCTCTCTGTATTGTCTCCAAAGACTTCCAACTCTAAAAGAAATAAACGTGCTTGCAAAGATGTTCCTAAAATTCATCATCATCATCATCATCATCATCATCATCATCATCATCAAGGAAAAACACCTGAGCAGTGCTAACAGAGAAAAGGACGAGGCACCGAAGAGCCAGCTCTGCAGCTGCACGTCCTCGCAGAAGTCGACGTCTAAATCTGCAGCCCCAGTTTCCTCCAGGCCTCAAGCCCCAGCAGAGGATGTTCACAACACACTCCAAATCAAAAAGGAAATGATGCTCAGGTGGCCCCAAAAGTCTCAGCTCCCCAGGATAAGCAAACCGTGGGGCACGTCCGGGCGTCTTCCACTCCCGTTTTAGGGCAGCGGAAGTCAAAATGTCAAATGAATGACCGCGCCGGAGCGCGAGGGAGGAAAACAAAGCCACCTCTGGCTGTCTGGTACCTACGGCGCGAGGGGCGCCGGGCGCGCACTCACCTGGGGCTCTGCAGACAGGAGCGGGGCCGCGGGACTGGAGGGCGCCCCTGCAGTCGACCGGACCCGCGGCCCCGGTGCCCTCTGGCCGGTCCGCGCGCGCCGCGGGGAAAGCTGGCGGCCAGGGGCGCCCTGC